CCCTCAACCACCGTTTGTTCATCAAAATGATAAGAATACATTCTCTCAAAATAAATTTTATTAAATATTATAATTTTTGTAACTAGGCAGTTTTATTTAACGAATTTTCTCATAATTATATAAATTTTAATCAATAAAAGCCATGTTAGTTTATTATATCTTAGATAAGACATTATTATATTTGATTTTGGGGTTGGTCACTTTGATGCGGTTGGCGCCGAGGTTTCCCGTGTTCCCGTGCAAGCACAATTTTGAGGTGCGTAGCCATCTCCTTATCCATTTCTTAAGCGGTGCAATGGCTTATAAACAGTTAAACACGGATTACGGTTTTTAAGGTAACTGAGGTTAACTGTTCCCCTGACACAAACTAGATTAACATTATATAAAAGAGATAGATATAAAAGGGATAAAATTATACAGTACAAAAGAGGTAAATCATAAGCAGTAACAAAATATATAGCATGAATTATATATATATATTTGAGATCCGTCCAAATTCCAATAGACAGGTTCATATTAATATTGTTAACGACGAACATATTTGATGAAGTCGATAAAGCTGTTACAACATGAAACAGAGAGGAAAGGTTGGCAACACTTGTCATGCATGCAGCTCATCACCGACAACAATGACGCGCTAACCGAACCGCATGGACCGTAACCGTTATATTTATCTTCCTGCTACTCTTTCGGTTTTCTTTTTTTATACCATTATCGAAAGAAAACCGACAATGTCTTACTCCATAAATAAAATAACTATACTGGAAAACTGTCTCTGCTGCCAAACAGCAATGCCAAGGTTATGTTCGTTTAGTATGCTAAAATCTACGGTTTAAATCCAATTAATAATGTTTGCCTCAATATATATACGCATGGTTAAAAGTTAAAACTCAATTCATTTGAATTTGAAGGACTTTGTTTCATTGTCTTAATTATATTTCGTAAATAATTTAATTTATTATTTTAACTTAGATTTATTTATTGAATTAGATTATATTTAAATTTATAGTTTAACAAAATTCAAAAATAAATTAATGAATTATATAGTTAATCTAGATTTATAACATTCAATTCAATTGATTAATAAAAAAAGTTGTTTTAGCCCGTAAATTGATTTTGTTTTTATAAATGATTAAGCTAAAAAAATTGGCTCACCATTCTATAATTAAATGTTATAGAATTTCTATTGGTTCGATCCGATGGATAATCTCTGGACCCATTTATTTTGACAAAGCCACATCTTTTACTTCAGTCTTTTGGAAGCATGACACGCGGACGTTGCATTCATTTATTTTTTGCTCAGTCCATCCATATCTTCGACAATTCCGTACTCTCTCTCTATATATATATTATTTATTATTTTTTCATATAAATAATATGATAAATAGGAAATTAAATTCTAAGACAGACAAATTGTTAATGACATATTGAGGTTTTTATATCAAGTATCATTTATAAAATGAATTGCGTTCATTTTGACATAAGATTTTAAGTAAATCTAGAGTCGGTCTAAATATGAGGTTAATAAAATCATTGATTTAGACTTAAAAAATTATTTCCATTAATATTTATATAATTTTTTTAATATCTGTAACTCAAAAGTTATTTTTTATATTTTTAAAAACTCATTCAAAAGGACATATTTCTAAAAGATATGCAAAATAATTATTTTTTTAGGACACATATCTAAAATATTTTTTATTAAAAGATATTATTATTAGTTTAAAAAAAATACTTTAAATTTTGTTTTAATCTCAATGATATGTTGAGTCGACCTTGCAAAGTCCTATGAAAGTCCACCAAAAAATCTTGATATCTAATGCTAATAATTTACTAATTAATTTTGTCTACCAAAATAAAATTTTAATGATTATAAAGACCATTAAACACACATCATAAAAATATAATTTATATTTAATCATATATCATTTGTACTAACTCATGCTGTACCTTATATATCACCAAGAATAATGTTATATTCACAATGAATATATACAATTCGTTTTCTATTTTTTTTTTATTACCTCACTTATTTTTTTTATTTTTAATTTCTCTTGAATTAGAAATATTATTTTATTAATTAATTCAATGTATTATTCTAATATTACTTGACGGTGGACAAAAAATCACGTGTCTGAAATCTGAATTTCCTTGTCATGTAGGAAGCATTTTGTTTTAGAATTTCCTAGTTTCAAAATGAATATTTTATTTTGAAAAGAAAAATATATAGAAATCAACAGCAGCATAAAAATGTAATAATATAACACGTTTTGTGCGTGTATTTAGTTCGGCTTGTTACTTAAAAATGTAACACGGAGAGTTTTATGGTTTAATTTTAATTGTGTGATATGTTGTTGTTGTTAATAGTGTTGTCTTTAAACTCTTGAGTTAAGAGGGTTTTAAAAGTTAAATATATTATGAGAAATTGGATAAGTTTAATGAGATTTAGAATTAGTTGAATCACCTAAAATAGAAATATATAAAAATATTTCTTAAAACAAATTTTATAAATTTATATTTTAAAAAATCTTAAAGAAAGACTAGAGAGAGATTCTCTCAAAGTTGGAAAGTCCTTTCCAATTCCCATCTCCATATTTATTTTGTACGATCCTTTTACAGATGATTGAGTGGATTACTTAGAGTTTAAGGTTTAAAGTTGAAAGATTCAAGCTTCAAGTCATGTGAGAATCTGTTTTTATCTTTTTTTTTTATTGAATTTGTTCTCCAATAATTGAGGGAAACTCTGTAATTGAATTCGGTGGATGCATGTGAATTTTGTTGTCTTGAAACATTATAATATTGATTGGTATTGTATGAATCTATGAGAGTGATGAGTTATGGGGTTTGGATTTCCTTAAAGTGGCTATGAGTTGAAATGTTGAAAATTTTGATCTTTAATGGATGTATGTTATTTTTGTTAATAGAAATGAGTTCCTTGTGTTGCCTAAATGTTACATGTTGTAATGTATGTGTTTGGTTTGTTGCATTTCAAGTAACTTGGATCAAAATCAAGTTATACATAAGTGTAAGATTAATATTGTGTCAAACGTGATTTTAACGAATGGTTTTTTCTCACCCACGTTAAGTGCAAAATTGGTGGCGTTGACCATAAGAAAAGAGAATCATCTCAATTTGAAATCATGTGGGACATAATTTGAATGACATCGAACATGAGGAAAAATAATTATCTCGCGTTGAATTCACACTAGACATTGATGACATGGTGCTAAACATGAGTTGTGTGAAAAACACTGTATGTAAGGGCTAGGTGTGAGCTTTTATCACACTAGACGCAAAAGAATTATATATACGTACATGACATGCTTTTATCATTTTTCTTTATACATATAATAACATGCATGATAATCATGAGTTAGTTGTATATTGTTTTTTTTATAGTAATAATCATACTATAATAAATATAATAACTTGTTGGATTGTTAAAAAAAAAATTATTATTTTTAAAAATAAACTAATTTAATTTTAGTTATCAAACAACTTAAAATATATATATATATATATATATTAACAAAACAACTTAATTTTACATTACAGAAAATGTTTTATGTAATATATGAACGTGTTTATCGCCATTATCTTGTAACAAATAATTAAAACAAATAAAATTACACACATATATTTATAAGTTTGAACTAAAAATAGAGAATTTCTACGGTACCCTCTATAAAAGAAGGGTACCCGTACTGTTGATGATGTGTCACTTACGTGTAAATTCAAGTTATTTATAATTTTTTAATTATTTAAAATTCACATCCACGTATGAAGTTCACGTTTTTTAATTTTTTTTTTCCGAATCTTTCTGGCTTCCTATTTCTTCCCTCTCTGCAGGCCGGCGAGCGAGACAGCGAAGGTGGAGATCGCGATTGCCGGCGAGTCGTGAAAGAGGAGCGTGGCGGAGAGGGAGACTCAATCATTTCAAGTAATTGTTCTTCAACATCCTTCCTCTCTCTCTAATTATAAATTACAAAAACATAAAAAACGGTTCATCCGTACCCATGGCCATTTTTCTTCCGCTCATCCCTCCCAATCCCAAACCACCATTTTCCCTTAATCTCCTCTGAATTTCGATATCTCTCTCCATATTCTCTCTCTCTCCCTCTCGTTCTTGTCCTGCGTCTATCTCTGTTTAGTGTTTACGCGCTTGTTTCCATGGAGTCGGTCAAGATTGCTGGCTTCGCTGCAAAAACGCTAATCCACGCGTGAAACGTGTGCGCGGAAACCTCATCGACGGAGAATGACGATTGTGACCAGAGATCCGTACCTCGAGAAGTTAGTGCACTTCGTGGAGGACCAGGCGGGACCTCTGATCAAAGGAGCCTTGGTGTTGAAGCTGAATCCGGTAGCTCTTCACGGTGCTCATCGTATAATTATAAAAATATTAATAAAAACTTAAAAATAAATAATATAAAAATTTAAATAAAAAATAATTATTATTTAAAAGATTGACATGATATTTAAATGATGTGTACATACACATTAGATACACATCAAATACAGTACCAAAACTTCTCATTTATCGGGGGTACAATAACAACCCCCTAAAAATATTTTACATAATGTTATTAACTTAAAAAAAAAAAATATTTTTATCTTAAACTTTTTCATTTGTTCATAAGCGAAAGCAACTCTTGATACATGCTATCAACACATTTAAATTTTGGTTTGCTTAATTATGAATGCTTTTAGTTAATATTGAAGAATTGAAATAGTAAAAGAGACGTAAAAGGATAACGTGATGGAAAAGGAATTTGTACTTTAGCGAGAGCAAGACCATCTCCGTACAAGTGGCAAGAAAGTAAGAGGCATGAACATGAAGACGTGGCTGTCAAACTGAGTTTCCCAAAATAGACAGCCACAAAGATACGCTCTATTTCCGGAAAAATAAATTTAGTAGAAGTTTATAAAATAAGATGAAATTGAAGAAATTTGATAATTAGAAATAATTAATTTAAAAAAGGCAGAAAAATGTTTTGATGGTCTATAAAAGGAAAAGAGAAGAGAGTTGTGTGAAGAGAAAAGAGGTTGGCACAGTCGCGGCAAGAGAGAAAGCAAAGATGGGAGAAGAAGTGGCGAGAGTGAAAGCAGAGTTGTTGGAGGAGAGCGAGAGCAAGGAGTCGGGAGTGACGGAAGAAGAGACGACGGTGCAGGTGAAAGAAGAGGTGGATGACGGCGCCGTCAACGCCACGTCATCGTCGCCGAAACCGATGGAGGGGCTGCACGAGGTGGGTCCACCACCGTTCCTGAAGAAGACCTTCGAAATGGTGGAGGACTCCGACACCGACCCCGTTGTGTCGTGGAGCCAAAGTCGCGACAGCTTCATCGTTTGGGACTCTCACGAATTCTCCAAAACCCTTCTCCCCAAGTACTTCAAGCACAGCAATTTCTCCAGCTTCGTTCGCCAGCTCAACACCTATGTCCGTAAAATACCTCCTACTCCCACTAATCGCTTCCTGTTAATATTCATCTTATCCATTTTATAAACTTCATTATCCTAATCTCATTTTTTTAATCATTTTTTAAATACAATTAGTATGATTTATCATTATTATCATCCAACTGAAATGAAGAGGATCTTAATTCCTTGATAGCCTTGTTATAGATCCTTTACCGGATCACCTCAGATCTGAGGAACAATCCGCAGATCCTCACTTTATAAGTGAGAAGGATCGAATCTCCACCACTACCGCTAGACCCTTCCTTATTATAATTACTTATTTCAGAATTTTAGAAATTATTTGGGTGAATTACTTGTAACATTCAATCTTGTAATCTAATTATAATTTTATTTTTTAGCCTTGTTATATATCATTATTATGATGCAATTGAACTACTCGGGATGCCATGCCAATAATGTTTTTTTGTTTGTTGGGCACAGGGTTTTAGGAAGGTTGATTCAGACCGTTGGGAGTTTGCAAATGAAGGATTCCAAGGAGGGAAGAAGCATTTGCTGAAGAACATAAGAAGGAGGAGCAAGTATAACAAACTGCACCATGGATCATTCAACATGATGAAGCCAGGGGTAGAGTCTGAAGTGGAGAAACTGAAGAAGGACCAGAACATTTTGAAGGTGGAAATTCTGAAGCTGAGGCAGCAGCAGGAGAATTCGCATGTTCAGCTAACAAATGTTCAGGAGAGAGTTCGCTGTGCTGAGATGAAGCAGTATCAGATGATGTTTTTCCTCACCAGAATGGCCAGAAAGCCTGCGTTTGTTGACCAGTTAATCCAAAAACTTAGGCGTAAAAGAGAGCTTGAGGGTAATGACATGGTTAAGAGGCCTAGATTGATGGGTACCCCGTGCAATGCAACCTTCCCTAAGGCCACGGAGACAGCCCCTAGTGTTGATTGTAGACAACAAGGTCATAAACAGTTCTCTACACTGCAATCAGAGCTCAATGGATTTCTGTCTGAAACTATGAACACCAACGACATGGACCACCCAATTCCCTCTCCTTTGGAAGATGAATTGTGCAGCTCTGTGCAAGGGTTAAGGACCAATTCTACTAGAGCAAGTGCACAAGATTCTTCTTCTGCCTATCATGTTATGTCAGAAAAACTAATGAGGGAAAATTCTATTGTTGATGAAGAAGAACTAGATGTGAATGACTCAAATATCTATCTTGAACTAGAGGATTTGATTACCAAGCCAACAGATTGGGTTGGATCTGCTGGTGGATTGGTGGGACAAACAAGTTGAATCTCACTAGTGGAATAGTGCCTTGTAATAATATTATGGTAATGTTCCCCTCCAACTTTGTAGTTCTTATAGTTTTGAATAATGTGGCCCTTATTGTTGCATTTGACACTGTGCAGGGTGCAATTTGTGTAGATGCTCTGCAGCAACACAAAACGAAGAGCTTAATATTATATGGCTCTTCAGTTACCAGGTTTGAAAGTGCAGGACCTAGATGCTCGCCCCAGCTTTTTATATGATCAAGCGAGAATTTTAATGTTTCTGTTCAGTGGGTCCAAATTGTTCATATGTTGTGTATAATGTATATAGTCCTCTCCTCTCCTTGTGTTTCTTTGCTTAACTTTAAGTCCTATATCAGCATAATCCTAGCTAGGCCTCTTTTGATGTAGTAATTATGTTAGTTTTAACATTGTAAATATGTAATACAGAAAATGCTTAATAGTATACTTCCGTTTCCCTTCTGTTTCCAATGGTTTCAAGTCGCTTCTTTTTTTAGTTATTTATTAAGGAGGTTGTAGAAAATGTTTTAATTAGGTTAGAGCTTGTAAAAAAGGCTACTGCATAGATTCTTTCTTCTTAATGTGCATTAAAAGGCTACTGCATAGATATGAGCCCTAATCGTATAGTCCTGTATACGTGATTACCATTTTTAAGTTATTTACGAGTGTTTAGTTGTAGATAATAAAACTCTCAACTAAGTATGAATTATGAGCCGAATTATATGAACAATTATTGTTTGTAACTTTGATTTTACTTTTAATGCCATATAATATAACTAATAATTAGGTCAATAAACATGCAAGAATAATATATTATAAATTTGTAGTATTGGAAAACACACTTTTCAGTTACACAACATGGATAATTCCAACTAGTCAAATTGACTACCTCATGAATGACTTAATTTTTAAGTTAATTTGATATTGCCTTTCATTTTATTTTTTTTATACCGTGAATCAGTCAACTTTACTTGACACTCTTTGAGTTATCCAAGATATTTTGATGTATCTTTTTTATTTTGACAGGACTCATTTACTCACGAGAATGTTATGACGTATAAAATAATTCATACAAACCTTAGACTAATGGCGTGGTATAGTTGCAGTAATATTTATCAAAGATACATTTTCGAAAATAAAATCCATCATTCTGTTAAGTTAAGATGCATAGTATTTTTTTTTCTTTCGTTCAACGGATAATGTTAATTTGTTCACAAGTATTCTCGTACCAAAACATCTTTTAATATCTGATTTTTAATTGAGTAGATCATATAATTCATGTAGTTATTTATTTATTTATAAATTCATACATAATTTTACTCAGAGACATAAGACTTTTATTATTATTGCATTCTCGTATCAAAACAATTAATAAAATTAAGTAACTTTACTCATTTATTTAATACACAACTATTTTAACGAAAATATTATTTCATAAAATATACCTTATGAAAAAAATTTAAAATTACAATTAAATTTTTCAAGTGAAAGCCATTTCTGTTTATATTTTTCTCAGAACATAAGATTAGAAAATCAAATATAAAATAAAATAAATTTCACTGGAAAGAAGAAATGCTGGGCGTGGTACATTTATGCGAACCAACTCTAGGCGCATATTTTATGTGAAAAACATAGAAGCCAGATTTCGTAGTTTCTACTTTACTGTGGAAAGACATTTATTCTTCTTAAAGCCACCACTTAATTAAACACCCACTTAATCTAATAATATAACACCTCAAATGTATACTCTTTTTTTTTTGTATTGTACTAATCATCAAATCTAACTCCTTATTATTGTTTTAATGTTTTCCCATTTTATGGTGTAGTACAAAAATGCGCATATATATGTTTTTTTTTTTTTATATTTTTTTTTATAATTGTTAAAGTAGTATCACTGATGGTGTCCAATAGAAACTGCAATTGGACTACGGAGTACCACAAAGGCATTGGCAACTTTTATAAATAAGTAATGATTGAATCACAAGTTGCAAGGTTAGAGGAGCTAAGATGACAACCAATTTTAAAGAGCTTTAACCATACTACTCATTAAGGTTGTTTAACTTAGGTTTTGTTGCGGCACCTTTTTTTTTTTTAATAATTCGAGCAAATTTTCCGTAACAAAATAACTTAATTTTTTTTTATCAAATATACTTTACAAATTAATTACCCATTTTTAGTTTTATCATTCAAACTTAAGACTCATTTTTTTTTATTGTAATCCAACAATTTTTTGAGTAAAGAAATCTTAATCAAAATGACACATCAAAACTTTTTGCGATGTATTTGCTTTAATCGATTACCACTTTGCATAAAAAAACCACTTTAATGTGAGATGATAAATAATAATATCATCCCCATAAAAAAATAAAAAGGAAGTTATATACAATTCTTTTGTAAAATGTTATTTTATAAATTCGTGGTGAGTATGACTTAACCTATACCTTGAATTGGATTCGACTTAGGTTAATTTTGACAAATTTAAATCTTAAAATTAGATTTAGTACATTTTGTGTTGAAGACGGCTTTGTACTGCATTATTTTTCAAATTCTTTTTATTTTTAAAAAAAATATAATTTTTGTAAACAATTATATATTAATAATATTATATGTATACTATCTTATTTTAAACTTAATAACTTCTTATTATATGATTAAACCGGGTGATGGACCTATATATGTTTGAGTGTGTGCAAATACACCCTTTGACTTTGCTAAACTTACAAGTAATTTTGAGTAACGTATTTTACCGGCGGAATCCATTGTTGTCTAGTTTTTATGATAAGCGAATTTATTTAATTAGAAACACTAGAATTCATACTTTTAATGTTTATGTCTTTATCTTTTATATTGTTATGATTATTAATTTTTTTTCATATATTGTCCTTATTAATTTAGAATCTTAAATCAGCTTCAAATTTTAACTGTACATAATATTAAATTTATATATATTATGTGAAAAATAAAATAAACTCAGTCTTATTCCATATATTTTAAATTTCAATAAATGTAAATGAGTAGTTCCTCAAAACATGAAATCTATAATGAATTAGGATAAAATTGTCCAAATCCTGGGTTTAGTCATGGTGATCATAAATATGGTTAGTGAGAAATTGTACCTCCAAATTCAGAAATAAATTTTGGTTGCAATCCAAAACTCCAAGTTAAAGAGAAAGAATTGGGGGGTGGGGGTGGTACGTTACGCGCCAATTGGGTCACGTGTGGATTACGGCGAATGATGATGGAAAAGTCACGTGACAGAGGGTCCCACCAGGTAGGTCCAAGAGCGAAGGAAAATGCGCCACGCGTAAGCAACACGCGTGGACATGACATGCCAAACAAACCAATAACCGACGACTGGTGTTTTTTTTTTTGATCGCATAATGCAAGAGAGAGAGAGAGAGAGAGAGAGAGAGAGAGAGAGAGAGAGAGAGAGAGAGAGAGAGAGAGAGAGAGAGAGAGAGAGAGAGAGAGAGAGAGAGAGAGAGAGAGAGAGAGAGAGAGAGAGAGAGAGAGAGAGAGAGAGAGAGAGAGAGAGAGAGAGAGAGAGAGAGAGAGAGAGAGAGAGAGAGAGAGAGAGAGAGAGAGAGAGAGAGAGAGAGAGAGAGAGAGAGAGAGAGAGAGAGAGAGAGAGAGAGAGAGAGAGAGAGAGAGAGAGAGAGAGAGAGAGAGAGAGAGAGAGAGAGAGAGAGAGAGAGAGAGAGAGAGAGAGAGAGAGAGAGAGAGAGAGAGAGAGAGAGAGAGAGCACACCGCACCGTATCATATCATATCATATCCATCACTCTTACGCTTTCTTTTTCTTCCAAATTCTCTCTTTCTTTTAACCTAACACTACAATTATGCCTTCCAAATCCCAATAACGCAAATCGCAATTACCCTAAATTCCTCACCTAGATCTGTCTCTTCCTTCGTCAATTCCACCTCCGGCTGCTCCCTATGTATGCTGCTTAGTGTTTTCCCTTTTCAGGATTAGGGGTGGGTCGTCTCGAGCTTAGGGTTCCCAACTCTATCGCTTTGAATGGAACCTCGTGTTGGGAACAAGTTTCGCCTGGGTCGGAAGATCGGAAGCGGCTCCTTTGGGGAGATCTATTTAGGTTTTTTTTTTGCCCCCTTCTTAAGCTGTTTTTTTCTTCACCTTTTTGTAATTGGACGAGTTTTGTTGTTTCTCGTGCAGGCACTAATATTCAAACAAACGAAGAGGTCGCAATTAAGCTTGTGGGTCTTCTTCATCTCATCAATTGGCTTTCGGATTTTATTCCACTTTCAGCAATCCCCCCCTTTTTTAATCCTGATTTTCGTTTGTTTCTGTGAAGTCTGAAATGGAGGGCAAATTGTCAGTTTTGTTTAGGCGGGTTAATTTCTGCTGTGAATTAATCTGAATTTCGAAATGGGTTTTGGGAAAGATGGTTTCATGTGGAATTGGTTCCTGCTTTGAGTTATGTGCAAGGGGTTGTGAAATTCGGCGTTGAGTTGTAGTTTTATCTGGCATTCTTAATGGCATTGTGACGTATGATTGTATTCTAGATGTCTGGTCTCACAACTGAGCTTATTTCTGCTCTCTTTGCATTTTAAAGCTTCAAAGAGAGATGATAGGCTGCAAGTAAAATTGTGAATATGAGTAAGATTGTGACAGGGAATCATTAACTAGCACAAAACCTTGTGAGATTTTATCATTTGGATACCATAGGTAATATGCTTTGTGGATCGAGTGCAATGTTTAATGAGTTAGAGCTGCTATATTGATGCCTTCCTGGATGTAGTGCAAAAATATACAATGGCTCTCACATTTTCTTTGATAGTTACTGGTAAAAGTGTTGGCTGAGAAGATTTGGGAGGGGTTAAATTGGAATGAAACATTTCTTGTTTATTCAATCAAATCTCCTCACTCCTCAGCAAAATGTTGGCATTTCCCTCCTATTCAATATATGTGATGCATTATTTCAAAGGTTTTGGGTTGAATTATCAATTATGTATTGGGAACTATATTTTGTAACTTGTTCAGCTGGTGTTTTAGCTTATGCTCCTGATTTTGGAATTTATTTTGCTTAAGTTGTTTCTGGATTCTTGATATCTTCAAGCGCAATAGATCTGATTTACTTGTTCTTTCTTTCTGTTCCATGCTGCGCTTTTATATTAGGAAAATGTCAAGACAAAGCATCCTCAGCTACTGTATGAGTCCAAGTTGTACAGAATTCTCCAGGGAGGAAGTAAGGGCCATTATCATTAATTTTTTATCCTTCTTTTGTTTGCACTTCCTGTAAGGAGCATTGTAGTGCCTCCCCCTGTTAAGTTATTTGATTTATAATTTATATCTAGCTGTAACCTAAGTTTTGTTTTGGCAGCTGGAATTCCAAATGTTAGATGGTTTGGAGTGGAGGGAGATTACAATGTTTTAGTGATGGATTTGCTTGGACCCAGTCTTGAAGATCTATTTAACTTCTGTAGTAGAAAGCTATCACTAAAGACAGTT